GAGAAGGAGATACGCCTCCAGGCACCGGCGTAGGTTTGCCTTCAGCAATACCACGTCTTCTTGCCTCCTGGCATTGCTTGTGGCTGAGACCCACGGGATGTTATACTATATGTTGGCAAATCGGGCTCCAATAAGCCAAGTTAGCAGAAGCAGAAGTTGTTTTTTTTCCCCCCCTCAAGATTCTTAGTAGCTCTGGAGTTACAAATCTGTAAAACTAAATGTGTCATGAAAAGGAAGATACAACCCATCCACACCCTTGAGACAACAGCTAAAGCAGTTCCAGGAGGGAAATTTATGGAACTGAATGCTGACATTAAAAGAGAAGAAAATTCTTACATCAGTTAAGTCATCACTTCAAGAAACTAGAGTAGTAACAAGAAGAAAATAGTAAAGATGGGAACAAAAAAATCAATAAAACCGAAAACAGAAAATCACTAGAGAAATATCAATGAAAGAAAAGCTAGTTCTTTGGAAAGATCCACAAAATTTATAAACTTCCAGCAAAACAGGATTTTAGGGGGGAGAAGATGCAAACTAAAACAGGATAATGCCTATATTTATGCTTATGAATAAGTGAAATGAATACTAATATGGATGCAATGGCTGGGAGGGAGGAATTGGGATTATTTGTTATTTGTCATTATTCACACTAGTCTTGAAGCACAACAGTGTTGTTTGCAAGTGAGCTTGGATTAGTTTAAAAAAAAAAAGTGCAACATATGCTTAAAAAGGAGAGAAAATGTAATCATATAAAATGCTAAGTTAAATCCAGAAAAGGCAGAAAGAAAAATACAAAAATAGGAACAAAAATGAAGGCAACAAATAAAAAGAGTAACAAATATGGGAGATACAAATCCAGTTATATCAGTAATCACTTTATTTGTTTAAAGCTTTATTTTAGAGAAAGCATGCATGTGTGTGCACAAGTGGGGCGAGGGGCAGAGAGAGAGAGAATCTACAAGCAGACTCCCCACTGAGCACGGAGCCTGACGTGGGGCTCAGTCTCACCACCCTGAGATCATGATCTGAGCCAAAACCAAGAGTTGGGCACCTAACTGAGCCACCCGGGTGCCCCTCAATATTCACTTTAAATGTTAATGGCCTAAGAGATAGAAGTAGAGTAGTTCAGAACTTAAGACCCACCTATGTGGGGGCACCTGGGTGTCTCAGTGGGTGAGCATCTGCCTTTGGCTCAGGTCATGATCCTGGGGTCCTGGGATCGAGTCCTGCATAGGGCTCCTCATAGGGAGCCTGCTTCTCCCTCTGCCTCTCTCTTTGTGTCTCTCATGAATAAATAAATACAATCTTATAAAAAAGCTCTGTACTATGAGAACCCACCTTAAATATAAAATATATAAATACATACATACATATATATATATATATATATATATATATATGAAGTAAGTGGGTGGAGAAAAATATATCATTCTAACACTAATAAAAAGAAAGCAGGAGTAGCTGTATTAATTTCAGCGTAGACTTCAAAGCAAAGAAGGTATCCAAGATAAAGGAGGTGATTACTAATGATAAACGGGTCACCTCTCCAAGAAGACGTAACGATCCGCCATGTGTACTCACCGACAACAGTGTCAGGATACATGAGGCAGAAAATGATGGAAGGGATACATGAATTCACTACTACAGTTGGAGACGTCAACATCTCCTATTGGAAACGGACAGATCCAGCAGGCAGGAAATCAGTAAGGACATAGTTGAACTCAGTACCATCAATCAACTGCATATAATTGATACCTGTTGACTACTTTATCCAACAATGGCACAACGCACATCCTTCTCAAGTTCACATGGAACGTTTACCAAGATGGAGCGCGATCTGGGTCATAAACACGCTGTGACACATCTAGAAGAATAGAAATCATATAGTGTCTACTCTCAGACCCCAGTGGAATTAAACCAGGAATCAATAACAGAAGGGTAACTGGAAAATCCACAGATACTTGGAGATACACAACAGCCTTCTAAAAACACATCGATCAAAAAAGACATCTCAAGAGAAGTTTTAAAACATTTTGAACTTCATTAAAGTGAAAACACAACCGATCAGAATTTGTGGGATGCAGCAAAAGTGGTGCTTGGAGAGGGATACGTAAGGCATTGAATGCGTATATTGGAAAATAACAAAGTAATGAAATCATTCTAAACTCCCACCTAAGGAACCGAAAAAGAGACAAGCAAATTAAATCCAAAGGAAGCAGAAGGAAAGAAAAAAAAAAAAGTAAAAATCTGAGCAGAAATCAATCACATTGAAAATGTGAAATTCAGAGATAAAGTCAAAGAAACTGAGCTGGTTCTTTGGAAAACTCAGTGAAGTTGAGAAGCCTCAACCAGGCTCACTGAGGAAAAAAGAGAGAGGACACAATTTACTAATCTCAGAAATAGGGGGCATCACTCCAGATCCTACAGATGTTAGACAGATAACAGAGGAATTCTATAGGGACAATTCTGTGCCCACAAGTTCAACAACCCACGTGAAATGACAGTGCAGTATTGGCAAAAGCATCGATAGATAAATCAATAAACAGAATTGAGGCCCCCCCCCAATACACCCAAATACGTATAGCGACCTGATCTTCGAGAATGAGGTGAACACAGTGCAGTGAAGAAAAGATCATCTTTTCAACCAACGGTGTCGAGCAGTTGGGCATCCACACGAAAAATCTATGACCGTGTGGTACTCGTCCTCCTCCGAATGACTTGTTTCACTCCGCACCGTACTCTCCGGGTCCATCCACGTGGTTGCACGTGGCAAGATGCATTCTTCCCAGCGGCGGGGTAGCAGTCCAGCGCGCGTAGATTCCACGCCTTCTTCGCCCGTTCGCCTACCAGTGGGCCTTCAGGCTGCTGCTCTGGCGCGGCGGTTGTCCACCACGCTGCAACGCCCAGGGGTGCACAGAGCTTCCAGTTAGTGGGTTTGTCTTTTGGGTAAATACCCAGTACTGGAGCCTCTGGATTGGATGGTATTTCCATATTTCATTTTCCGAGGAACCCCCATGCGGTGTCCACAGTGGTCGCAGCAGTTTACACTGCCACCAGCCGTGCACAGGGGCCCCTCCCTCTACATCGTCGCCAGCGCTTGTTATTTCTTGGCGTTTGATTTTAGCCACTCTGACAGCTGCGAGGCGGTATCTCATGGTGCTTTTGGTTTCCATTTCCCTGACGGCGAGTCATGTTGAGGATCTTGGCCTGTGTCTGCTGGCCACCTGGATGTCTTCCTTGGAAAAGTGTCCGTTCGGGGTCCCCTGCCCTTCTCTAAAGGAGGCTGTTAAAGCCCAAAACAATGAAATTACTTAGTCCAGGGTCACATAACCATTAAGCAGCGCCATCCGATTTTGAATCTAGATGTTTCGGGAGAGGGGACCTGCAAGTGCAATTAGGGTGTGTCTTCGATGTGTAAGGCATACTGAGAGATATTAGGGCCAATTAGGAGACTGTGTCCTTGGATTAAACTCCATAAAAGAGATAAACAGAAAGAAGCACACTGCAGAGAGCTAGAGTGGACTGTCAAAATCACAGGTCTCACGCGCCAAGTGGGCCAAGTGTAGACAAAGTGGGTCCCACCCAGAACGGCTGCCGTGGCGCTGTTGGGCCCTGACCTCATGGAGCTGAGGAAGCCGTCCTGGGCCGAGGATGTCAGGAAGCAGCCCCGAGTGGGTTGTGCAGGCATGTGCGGGCTAGAGGGCCTCACGTCGGCCGTCTGGGTGGGCAAGGGTCTGTATCTAAAATATGGCAAAGCCGGTGGAGGGGAGGGACCTAACTGCACCCCGGGTGTCTGAGGTGTCAGCGGGCGGGACACAGGGGACCCTGCTCGAGAGAGGGAGAGGGTTGGAGCTGCAATTTGGATCCACTCCCAGATGGATGATTGTTAACTGCTCGAGGTCTCCAACCGAGGTAAAGTAAGTCCCGGGAGGAGCCCTGTGGGAAGGGCTGGGGGCGAGAAGCAGGCAGAGTCCCCGCGGGAGCAGGGGCCCTGTGTGCCGGGGCGCAGGGACCACGCGGTGGCATCGAGGAGCTGCTGCGCTTGACCACTGGGCTAACGTGAAAACTGTAGCCGCGAAACCGTGAGTTCCTGTGCTTGGGACTCCTCTGCCTAGAAGCTTCGGAGCCAGTCTTGCTTCTGGAGCTTGGTTGGATCCGCTTATGTTTAAGAACTGTGTAGACGAATGTTTCTCGTGCCCTTAGGACGGCGTCCCTCCCAGCCCGGCTCGGGGTGGTGGGAGCGCATTATCGAGGACCTAGAAGTGAAGAGGGGGCGGGGGGGTGGGGATCTGCGTCGGCGCTCAGGCTCGGGCTGGAGGCCCTACGCTGACCCCGCACCTGTCACATCCCAACCGGGTGTGCGAACCACAACACAGTAACTTCTGTTCGACTCGTGTCTTGGAAACCACGTCTCTGCACCCTTGACCTTCCACGAAGGAAGATGCACGGGGCTGGGAAGCGCACGGCGGAGCGGTCGGGGGGTGCAGAGGCCTGGTCACCGCGAAGCCGGTGGCAGCGGCAGCAGCCCCGGGGCCGAGGACCCAAGCCCACCCGGGGGGGGGAGGGGGACAGGTGGCCAGTGTTGCCAGCGCCCCACAGCCCACTCTGGCAGGTGTGGAAGCTACACGGCGCCCACCGTTGCCCCGAGCAGCTGGCCCGTGTGCACTGCCCCTTGCAAAGCTGCCGTGAAGAATAAACCCGGTTCTTTGAAAGCCCCCGTTAAATCATTTTTCCCCTACGACTGCTTAGAATTCATTAAATCAAAAGACTGCAGGTTCGACTCCTGTCTCAGGCCCACAAATGGAACAGCGGGTGGAAGCGGCAGTGTTGCCATAACAAACCTAAACCACACCAGTTTCCTTTCGGGGCCGAAAGTGGGAGTATTTCCTTCTAGGCCGAGCCCTTCGCAGCGTCATTCCTGAGACCGTGGACAAACCACCCGGGCAACGCGCGAGGTGCGCCTGCACGCTCCTGACCTAGACCGTTTTTGTGTGTTTCAGGCCCAAACTGCTTCGCGGAAACCGCGGTCATCCCGGCTGGAAGAGAGGTCAAGACTGATGAATGTACCATATGTCACTGTACTTACGAGGAGGGGACGTGGAGGATCGAGAGGCAGGCCATGTGTACGAGGCACGAGTGCCGGCAGATGTAGAAACGGGACCATAACAAAACAGACGTTTTTCTAGGACATTTTACGGATGGGAACCTTCCAGAGGACCCTGGGGAGCATCCTGCAACGGGAGGAGACGTCGGATGAGGAACGTGGAAGGTGGCGGCGCTTCTGCGATCCTTGCTCCCCCGAGAGAAAGAAATGGGTACATTTCAAAACGTCCACGAGAACTCGGGGCATGAGCCCCCTCTCTAAATAAATGTGCTATTTTCACAGTAAGTACACCGAGGAGCACTATTATATATTCGATGTATTTCTATAATCCCTCCATTAGAGAGCTTATATACGTGTTTTCTATAGATACAGATTAAAAATGCCGTGTTGTCAACCGTCCTCACTGTGTACCTGCCTGTCGCCTCCAGTTCGGGTCCCGTCCGCGAGCTCGGTGGCGGCTGCCGACGCTGCTTCTCTTGCGGGGCCGGCGCCCGCCCGTCGATGCACCACGAGGCCACGGGACCCTGAGATCCGGCCCCGTCCCGTTCCATCACAGAGACAGGCCTCGAGTCTGTCCTTAGAGACCCAGCACGTCAGTAGCTTGCCTTCCCAGTGACGACCCCCTGCCTTTACCGTCCCTGCTCCCAGGCGCTGGGAGATGGGGGGACAGAGATATGCGGTGTTCGGGGCCCCAGAGCGACCCAGACGTGTACCTTCCCCCCATGCACACTTCTTTCTCTCCTAAGCCCCCCGCGGGCCTCGCAGCAGGGGACGATGACGTAGGCACCGTGGCTCCAGAACCTGCAGTGGGTGGGCCCGGCTGGGTGCAGGGCCCCCGCCGTCCACGCAGCGGACGCAGGTTTCTTGCTGGAAGGACCAGCCACCCTCCGGAAGAGACCGGGTAACATCTGAAGGGCCTCCCCGCGTGAGCCACGCTCGGGGAGCAGAGAGGGGACAGCGGGAGCCCCTGCGCGCTGCTCCTTCGGTTGCTTACCTGTGATCCCACATGGATTTTCTTTCTCTTCGCTTGGACAGGGAATAAAAGAAGCCACTGGAAATTTCCTGATCCCTGGTCCCCGCATCCTAGAGAATATTTCTGCCTTTAGCAACCTCGTTGACACCTGGCACACTGACGAGGAAGGGCGCTGGTCTTGACAGGTGTGCGGGGAGACATGATTATAATCGCTATTTGACTCCTTATAGGTTTTTCCCCCATATTTTTTTTTACTCCAAAATTTTTTTATTTTTATTTATTTATTTATTTATTTATTTTAACTCCAAAATTTTGAATTGAGCACCTATTAAGTACCAACCATTGGATGACCAAAAAAAAGGGGGGGGGAATAGAGCATGGTTTCTCGCCTTCATGGGCCTTTGGCCTAACAAGAGTAAGAACTGAGAGTGCCTCGGGGCAGCAGGTCAGTCCGTCAGCAAAGAGGCTGGAAAGCTGTCCTGAGAAGAGCAGGGAATACGGAAACACCCTCCAGCACTGAAATCGTTCACTCCTTAAAGGTCGACTAATCAAGAAAAATGGATATACGTGTCGTTATTGAAAACGTGAACCGCTGTGTACCTTAATACATGGACAGCCGGCATTAGCGGAAGCTTCCAGAACTTTCCACATGCTCACAGTCCGTGTGCATCTTGTTTATCAAGAACACCTTGGTCCAAACGGGCTCCATGCGCCTAGAGTTTTGAGAAAATCCTCAGGGGAAGGATTAGCGAGTTGCTTTGGAAAACTGAACATTTGGCAGTAAAGGCTCCTTGATGTCGGCCATCGTCACTCTATTATCCCAAGGTAGATTTTTTTTTTTTTTTTGAGACCAGGTTATGCAAGTGATGGTTTTGCCAACAGTGGGCTCTCCTTCCCCCGGGGGGGGGGGGCGGGAGGTGGGTCATTAGCTGTCCTAACAGGACACCTGTGTGTCATGCGCCTTTCAGCTAGTGGATGCACTAAACACATCTCACTGCTTAAAATCAAACATCAAGATAGAAAACACCTGAATTGTCTGAAATTGGATTTTTTAGACATTGCATGCACATAACGATCGTGCTGGGGGGACGGAGGAGCGTTTCTTAAACATACGATGCTGCAGGCCTCGCAGCGTGTGAGCACGTATCTCTGAGACGCCGTTGGACGGCGCACGGGAGATGATGCACACCAGCTTAGCCAAAACTTGAGAGCTCACCTCTATTATTTCTAAACATACGGAAAACAGAATTATAGACACAAGCCGAACCTAACAAATATTAACAGTTTATTATATTTGCCTTAACAGGCGAGAGATCAAGCCTACTGTTACTATTAAGTCTTTAAAAATCAGATGCTTTTCTGCAACGCACTAGGGAGCGGTGAGGGCACCTGGCTGGCTGTCGGTGGAGCACACGACTCTTGATCTCGGGGTCACGAGCTCGAGCCCCACACTGAGGGTGGAGGTTACGTAAGCAATTCAGGAAGGGTGACCAGGTGCCCCCCATCCGTGCGAGGAGGCCGGCCACATCGTTGGCCCGTGCAACTTGACCTGATGTTGCAGGCCGCCCGCCCGCCCGCCGGCTGTTCTGTGCTGCAGGCTGTGCGGGGCAGGTGCGTGCTCTCCTGCAGAGACCGCCGCTCACCCGCGGGGTGAAGGCCTCCGAGCCGTGCCACGTCCCACCTCCAGGGCCCCCTGGCTCACCCCCCTGCCCCGCAGCTTCCCGTCCGCCAGGCTCACCTCCCGGACACAGGGCGTCCGCGCCCCTGAGCTGGGCCGAGCTCCCCGCGGGCGGCCTGGCATCTTCAGGGCTCCCCGCAGCCTCCCACTGCCGCCGGGCCCGGGCCTCGCCGCGCCCTGAACCAGCCCCTGCCTCTCAGCCCTGGGGGCCCAAGGACTGTCCCGCGGCGCCTCCGCCGTGCCACCCATTTGGTATTTGACGCTCGCACGGTTTAACGATTTAGAGACCACATCATACTTCTCATCACCCACTTTGTCTGTTTGCTCTCTTATTTATCCTAAAATCTCCTTATTTCAGGCCGTGGAACATTTGGTCCCTGGAAGGTCATCCAAGGCCCTTATGTTAAAGGCGTGTTGAGTCGTAGTCGGTGTATTAACCCAGAGTCCTCTGCTGTCCGCGCGTGAGGCCAGCAGCTGTTCTGAAGAGCAGCGCAAGCTCCGGGGGCTGTTGGCCTTCCGCTGTCGCTGCTGTCCCTGTCGCGTGCTTTCTCGGGCGACTTGCAAATCTCCGTGTCGGGGGACGGCAACCCGACCGGGACCAAACCCCACCAGCCCTTTTTGATGCAAGTCAGGAAACAAATCGCTTTTGGTGTGAAATTTCTGATGGTGGAAATAATTTCTTACATTGAGGTCCTTAGTGACGGTTAAACAAGTGGAGTTTACAGCTTTGGTCTTTGCCGTATTTACTTACCTGGTTTCAACTTTCAGAATATGAACTTCTTGTCTTAGACCTTCACAGTCCAGTGTGTATGCAGACTTTCATCTGCACACATAACATAGTCACTCGATGGGTGTCGAATAAGGTAATTGGGTCATTTCTGCAGAAACACACGTTTCCGGAGGCCGTTGGAAAAGTGTTAGGAGGTGGTGCTTGTCTATGTTCCACCAGATGCCGACGTTCACTCAAGAGGTTTGCAGAGCACGTGGTGTTTGTTTTTTTGTACACCTAATTTTTATTTTTATTATTTTTTTTACATTTTTATTTTACTTCCAATTAGTTAACTACGGTATTATGTTTGTTTCAGGTGTACAATACAGTGATTTAACAATTCTATGCATCACCTGGTGCTCATGACAACAGGTGCACTCCTCCATCCCCACCCCCTGCCCACCTCCCCTCTGGTGACCAGCAGTGTGTTCTCTAGAGCAAAGAGTCTGTCCCTTGCTTTGCCTCTCTCTTTTTCCCCTTTGCTCATTTGTTTTCTTAAACTCCACAAATGACTGAAATCCTATGGTATTTGTTTTTCTCTGAGTCATTTTGCTTAACATTTTACTCTCTAGATACACTGATGTTGTTGTAAATGGCAGGAATGGCGGGATTTCACTTTTTTAAGGGTGAGGAATATATATTTTCCAACCATACATATATGTTCCATATATATACACGTGTATATATATATATATATATATATACACGTGTATATATATACACACACACATACCGCATCCTCTTTATCCACCCATCAGGTGATGGGCTGCCTCCATAATTTGGCTATTGTAGATAATGCTACTATTTGGATGTAGTAGTCCCAGTAGTTCATTTTTTATTGTTTCCCTTGCCTCAAGAGTCATTTCTAGAAAGAAAAATTGCCATGGCTGATGTCGAAGAAGTTCCTCTGTTCTTTTCTAAGATTTTTATGTTTTCAAGGTCTCTCATTTAGGTCTTTAATCCATTTTGAATTTATTTTTGTATATGGCATAAGAAAGTGGTCCAGTTTCATTCTTTTGCATGTGGCTGTCCAGTTTCCCCAACACATGTGTTGAAGAGATGGTGTTTTTTCTATTGGATATTCTTTCCTGTTTTGACAAAGACTAATTGGCATTTAGTTGTGGGTTTATTTCTGGATTTTATATTCTATTGTATTGATCTATGTGTCCATGTCTGTACTAGTACCACAGAGGTTTTTTTTCTTAATTTGTTTCTTTGTTTTTATTAGTTTTAGGGGTAGGATTTAGTGATTCATCAGTTGCATATAACACTCAGTGCTCATTACTGTACCACAGTGTTCTGATCACTACAGCTTTGTAATATAACTTGAAGCCTGGAATTGTGATGCCTCCAAATTTGCTTTCTGTTTTCAAGATCGCTTTGGCTACTTAGGGTCTTTTGTGGATCTATACAAATTTTAGGATTGTTTGTTCTGTGAAAAACATTGTTGGTATTTTGATAGGAATTGCATTAAATGTGGAGATTGCTTTGGGAAATATAGACATTGTAACAATATTTGTTCTTCCAATCCATGAGCATGGGATGTCTCTCCATTTCTTTGTGTCATCTTCAATTTCTTACATAAATGTTTTACAGTTTTCAGAGTCTAGGTCTTTCACCTGTTTGGCTGGGTTTATTCCTAGGTATCTTATTATTTTGGGTGCCAAACAACTAATTTTTAAGGGAATAAATCCTGTTGAAGACTAAGTCACACCGACATTCATGCAAGGCATGCTCGCTCAACATGTCAATAACATTAGGAAGATTTAAGTGAACATGCACTCTAAATGCTTGGCACACGGGCATTTGATGGTCCAAGAGATCGGTACTGTTCAACTCCTTCCTGTGAGTTCAGAGTAGTATGC